TCTTTTGTGAATAGGATTATTTATTTTTTCCAAAAAGATAAAATACCATTATAACGTTTTAAAAAACGATTATTTAATTAAGGTCTGCAGCCCTGATTAAATTGTATTTTATTGTTAATTATGATTTTATTATTCACAATAATAAAATCAATAGTAAGTGGTTATCAAAACTATTATTTTTTTTATTATGAGAAAATAAGCGATGAGGCGGTATAATTTGTATTTGATATTTTTAATAAATTAATTTTATGAAAAATATATAAAAAGCTTCGATGAAATGGCTATTAAATTAAAACTATTATTATTAACATCAAATACCAAACTTTCAATTCAAGACGATGTTTGTGAACCCACAACAATGCATTATTCCCCAAGTTAACTCCAACACACAGAGTGTTCGACTGATCCGTCTTGAGAATCGGATGGATCAACTTCTTAATGAATCAGTTTCAACTCGTTCCCAATTTGGTAGTTTAACAAACAACATTGTGATTTTAGATTCAAAACTGGACGTTATGACAACTCTTTTGAATCAAATGGCGTCAAAGTTCTCTGACCTTTTAATTCAAAATGTCGACATGAAAAAGTCGATTGGTGGTCTTCAAAGTCGCTTTCCTACCAAAACCGAGAAATTTGACGAAATCGAAAAATTGCCGTCGAAAATTAAAAAGGTTGAAAATCAAATCCAACAAAGTGCGCCGACGCAATACACCAAATCGCCATCACCAAAACTACAACAACAACCAAAACAAACCCATTCGTATCAACAAGAAATCCAACGCCCAAATTATCCCGCCAAAAGTCCAAGTCCAAACACCCCCAAAGAGCAGAAGAAGCCGTCGATTCCAATTAGAAATAAAATGAAACCGACTCCATTGGTGCCAAAGAATAAGAAGGACGACTTTGCGGGGCTCTCATTTGAAGCGGAAATTGCTAATTTCAATAAACAGCTGAAAGACGACGATTTGAGTGTTAAAAAGAAGGACCACGAGGAGACAAAGAATGTGCAAACCAAACTTGAAAACGTCGAAATTAATAACAAGAACAGTTCACTGGAAACTGCGACAGATGTGAAGAAGAAGACAGAGAGTGTCACACTGACTGGAGTTAAGATACCAGAGATACCAAACACATTATCAATCCCTTCTGTTCCTAATACACCAACTATCCAACCAGTGAAACTAAGATATCGACA